ATTGGTATTAATGTAAGATAATGCTAACGCGTGTCTGAGGTCTAACCTTTAAGGATGAGGACCGGACTCAGCTGACGAGGGACGAAGTGAGTTGGGAATTTAGAATTCTGCATTAACGAGTATGGGTCACCTGGAACAGTGAGGGTAGTGAAATATATATATTTCTGGATTCTGCAAAGGAAATTAACATTTGTATCAGAACAGGAACTACAATTACGTTTTGTTATTTTTATTCTTAAATATACAATATGTGAACTTTAACTGTTTAAATAAAACTTTAACTGTTTAATTAAAACAAAGTAACTACTTAATTAAAGGAATTCATCTATTTAACTAAACCTATTTAACCTTTTAAATACAAACTACATAACTAAAGGGGCAGATTCATTATTTCTACAATGAAGGACGCAAACACCACGTCGCCCATTTCTGGTATCTGGAAAGGAAATAAACATTTGGATAAGAACAGGAAGTGGAATTATTAGTAACAAGTATGGAGACACCTGGAGCAAAATATATGAACATTTTTGTTTTTTTTATTCTTAATATATAATGCGTGAGCTAAAAACAATTTAACAAATAAAGTATTTAACTTATTTTCTAAAAATAATTTAAACATTTAAGTGAAAACAATTTAACTATTTAAGTGCTTAACTATTCTAAAATGGTATTGTCATTATTTCTCCAATGAAGAACGCAACTTCAATGTCGTCCATTTCTTGAATCTGGAAATGAAATAAACATTTGGATCAGAACAGGAACTGGAATTATGGGTAACAAGTATGGAAACACGTATAGCGAATATCTCGTGGTAGGCGATCTCTAAGGATGCAGGTCTTGAAGGAATTTGTGACGAAGCTCATGGTGAAATACACTGAACTTATTCTAGTTACGTGGACTTCTATGTAAATTACAGGCTTCAACCTGATTTAGCAGTTTTTGGGGTGACTTCTGTTTGACCCTCTTTTTCATCTAACTGTCATAACCTTACCTGGTGTCCTAACTTTTATGCCGTGTGATTTTCATCTGCACGGAATTTACAAGTCGGAGGGAGGGCTGGAAATACGTCAAATGCAAGAATATAAAAATTACAAAGAGAACTTCAGGCTCATAGTATGCCTTTGTGGCCTATGTATCACGTGTTCAGTTTATAATAAGGTAAATATAGATTTATGTAATCCAGCAATAAAAAGAAAATTAGAATACAAGTTAATGCGGCGAGTTTGTGAGTAGAATTGTACAAGAGTCGATATTTTATTAGTTATTAGGGCTCATAGTTTATCATCACCGCCACTATTGGCGCCAACACGAAATAAGAAGAAGAAATATTTAAGTGCGCGTTCTGAATACGAGATATTTCTCACACATAATTTTACACGATCGCACCGGTGCCATGTTTATAATCGATGATCATACGTAATTTTCTGCTATTCTTATAATTTCGCGTGAAACCAAATTAAATATTCTTAGCTCCAGCAGTCCACTAGTTATCGCTTTGAGACTCAAAAAAAGTTCAAATGCTTAATGTGGTTGCCATGTTTTTTATTGTTCCATTCTATGAAAAAAATTCTATAATTATTGCTTTAATAATCAATAACTTTTTTATTTATGGGATTTGCATGATTCTCGGTGTAAATAAGGATTATTTCCTTAAACGACATTTACCAACTGATATATGGAATTGTGAATTCTGTTTACGGTTTTAGTCCGTAAATATTATTTAAACGTGTTTCGATTTCAAGGGTTTAAACCGTAAATGATTATGTGCGTTGTGCATTATATATTAATGATCTCATCAAATGAATGGATTGTGTACATACATATCTCATTTCCATCATTAATATTGTAACTTGCAAGACATATATTTAAGAGAAATATATCATCACTTACTGATCTTGGGTGCCGCTATTGGATGACTCTGTCATTTGTCTAATTTGGTATAAGTACGGGCGCAACATATGTGCATACCTGCAAAATGAATTACAGGGACATGTTGAACCGATACTTGCTGACTCGGTTGCTCGTGTATTCTACGCCCCGAGATAGAATTGGGGAAACCAAGGAACATTGAACTTGTAGGCAGTAGAACATACACAATCAATTAAATCTCAATCAATTTGAATTTAATATTAAAAATTGATAAAAGCAAGAATGACAAAAACTGTAATACAAAACAAGAATACAAATTAATCTTTCAGAAGACAATATTAAAGTTACACAGACATACGCCCAAGTGTGTCCATACTTGATGGCAGCCACACCTTCAACACCAATTGGGAAACCATTCCCTCATTTAATACAGAATTACGTGAATGCCCTCCCCCAATATTTGTAGGTTTGCGGGTGCTGGTTGCTACCCGACTTCCCTTCAGCTGCCATGTCCAGCCGTAACCTAAACATCAAACAGATACCTCATACCTCTACACTCAACCACAAGAAAAAAAATTCAATACATAAAATGTATATAATATATATTGGGTTGCAGTGCTTTCACAAAAACTTCCGTAGTTTTTGTTAAAGACCAAGTTCCTTTTTGGTCAGTATCAAACGCTGAAAAGATCAAGTTCCATTATGATCTAAGTATTTCGAACCTCACACGGATTCAACTTAAGTAACACTCACGTCACTTGACGTTACTACGACCGACTGCACTCCAGTCTGGGATTCCCATCCAGACAAAGAGTGGTCAAGAGGACGCTAGCCTCTCACCAGGCATCGCCTTTTGATCACGCGACTTGCTACGCAGTAGCTCGTGATCGAACTTGGTAATTCCCCGGACTTATCACACAGTGCGAGCCTCGTGACAGGTGTCCCATTCCACCTATCGCAAGACCCCACCTTCTCGTGAATGACACCAAAACGAATCAAAAGTACCCTTTTGAATACACACAAAACAAGAGAATAATATAAGTAAGAACACGAGTTGCAATATAACACAATATGATACTAGTCGACATATGACGATTCACATACATATTTCACATTGGGCCTCGCCCGACCCCAAGCATTCCCATACTTACACAAGTTGCAATTACTCACAAAAATACGACTCACACCAGAAAATAAACTATGTACACAAGTTGCAAATCCCGTCGGCCACCATAGTGAGCATATCAGACTTAATTTTGAACCGAATTTGAGGACCAAAAAATTTTGAAGCCAGACGAAACACTACTCACGTCTGATCACTATGACGGTCGACCAGGAAGAGACCGACCGAAGGTCAAGTCGGTCCTAATCACACGTCTTCCCGAGCATGAGACAGGAGAGGGGAAAAGTGACAGCTAATTGGTTGGCCAGACACAAAGGACTCACAGAAATCCTGGCTGGAACATAACACAAATGGTCAAGCTACCTCCTGTGGCCATTCAAACACAGTTTGAATGCTGGCTCACAGAGGTCACCTAACGAGCCTCGAACCATAGAATGGTTCAATGTATAAGTAAATTCAGTTGTAGTGGAACTTGTTTATTATAGCGTTCATAAGGTACAAACGTTAGGTTATGTTGAAACCTGTTTATAAAGCTGTATCTTAATTGTAGACTCTCTTTATTGCATTTCATTCTTTTAACACTAATTAATTTTTATGCCCATAAGCCATCTCATGTCATGCACCACTCGTGTATTAGCATAGGACTCGGGACAGCCATAGAACTTTTAATTACTAAAACACCTTAATGGAAACATGGCCTTCAGCTTCCAGGACATTTTCCAAATGTAACAGAATCACCAAGTGTAAACACCGTTGCTATGTGGCACATCACACAGTACTCTTACTTACCTCGTAATTGTCTTCACTCCGGTTGAAGATACTGTCTCTTATCTGACTGGACGCAATAGAGCCGACTGGTCGTCGTGGTGGGGGGCGCGGCATCTGGTATTTCTTTGCCATCACGTCACCCCATTTCAGTCCCTGTAGGGTGAAGCACAAACGTTAGTGACATGGACCAGACTGTTTATTGCAGAGTTAAAGTATGAGGACGTAGAAGGGAGAATGGTTCAACGTAAAAGGCTCATCAATCATGGAGGAAGTAAAACGAATTGAATTGCAATCTTCTGCTTGGATATAAACTTTGGACTGCAGTTACAAGGAACTTTGAGGACATCCAATCTTGCCTTCAAGGATCAAAGAAAATTGTTGTGTACTGAGAGACACCTTTGAAGTTCTGCTCTGGCAATATATTATGCATCACCTTTCTAAACCTTTTACTGCGGTCTTACTGCTTATGTACTGACGGTGTTAGGCCCATCACATAAGTTATTTTTATTTGTCTGGGAATGTAAATTATGCTGAACTTTCCAAACAACGAGATTGTCCAGAATAGTGTCAGAAGGCATGAACTGCTCTGCTGTGCCTCTGTGCTTGATTTGCATGGACAAAGCACAGTTCAGAACAGAAACGTGTATATTCTGTATTATTTATTATACCATGTCAGACATGGGATAAGAACTCACATCAAAGAATGGATGCCACTTGATGTCCAGTGCGCCAAGTCTGCAATGTGGTTTCTTGTCCAGGAGGTTCCAGACAAGGTCTGCCACATCTGGCGACAACCATGTGGGAATGTCTATGGTGTCACATACGATTTTACTGTAAAAGACAGGCCCATTGTATTTACCATTTAAACATTCTTATTAAACATGC